CTTCAGGTGAAAGCAATTCAAACCCAAAAAAAAAAAGGGGGGGGGGCGGCATAGGCAAAAAGACAGGGAGCAAAGCTTTAGCAACTGCATCCTGATTTTATTCCCCAAATTGTCCTCTTCAGAACTTTAAACACACACAAGGCAACAGCCCAGGACTAACATTCTGAGGTAAGAAATTGGCTCCACTGCCACAGAAGCAGAAAAAAAAAACCCCCACAGGGTGAGTTATGGCATGATTCCATACCTCTACTTCCACTGGTTTGCTAACAGAAGAAGTTAAAGAGTAGATTTGTTCTCCATGGGGAAGAAGAAAATAAATAATGATCATTACAAGAATAATGGCTACTTACATTCATAAAGTTTTAAAGATTAATTTTATTGCCAAATAACAAAGGAAAGAAAATTCTCTCCCCGATTCCATATTCTCCATGTTATCTAATACATATTTAAATGCATTCTATTATGAGAAGCTACTAGAAAAAGGGGTGGGGCCAGGAGGAGAATGAAGGTAATGCGGGCCACAAACCATGGCCACCGGGCTGAATCCAGCCCACTACATGCTTTTGCAGGGATATGAGAATGACTTTTATGTTTTTAACTGTGAAACATGTACAAGACTATTCGCCTTTCAGCAAGAAGAGTTGTTCAGTTTTGCTTCTTGGCCCACAGAGCCTAAAATATTTACTATCTGGCCCCTTATAGAAGAAGTTTGCTAATCTCTAGTCTGAAAGATAAAGCTTTGGGAAAAGCCAGGTTTGTAAGGAAAGCCTCATTGGGTAGAGCTGTGCTGTGTAAAATGGTTGCTACCTAGCTATATATAGGTATTGAAATTTATAATTAAATAGAATTTCACCAGCCACATTTCGATAGTCATATGGGGCTCGTGGTCTCCATATTAGACAGTAAAGATAGATGATATTTCCATCATCACTGAAAAACTATATGACAGTGCTGGAGGCTGTGTATTTTTGTGCCTTAACCTCCAATTTCCTGAAATAAACACCTTAGCTCATTAAATGGGAACACAGTGTGATTAAATGTTCCTCAACTAAAAAAAAAAAAAAAAATCAGGCAATCCCATTTTCCTATATTCAGAAACAAAACTGAACACCATCCCTGTCCTTGGACACCATTGCCAATCTGATGATTTATCTGTCCAGACCTTCCAATGGTCTTAATACGGTAAATATTTTAGCTTCTACTGAGTTAGGAAAGGTAGCAAAGATCTTCGTGCCAATGCTCCTGGGCCGCTTCCCTAGCTTGGTTTACCCTTGCAGAATCTCTATGTTGCTCAGATTCTCCATTTGCTCATTAGTGAAGTCCACTGTAACATTTGTGAAGGCCTTTTATTGTAAACTGCAAAGCCATGCCCCAGCCTCACTCACCACTTTATTCCCAATACCTAATATTGTGCCTAGACAAAAGGTACAATAAACATTTGTCAAATAATAGAGCTTCTTGTCAAAGAAGAAAAGGCTATGGTGAGTGCTGTGAAGTGTGTAAACCTGGCGATTCACAGACCTTTACCTCTGGGGCTAATAATACATTATATGTTAACAAAAAAAATTTTTTTTTAATTAAAAAAAAAGAAGAAGAAGAAGAAGAAACCTCTCTCAGGCCAAATACTGTAGCAATGACTTTTCTTGTAGGACTATTCAGAGCAATGTTAAATGTATTCAATTATGTACAAATGGGGAGACTTTAGAGCCATTCGTGTAACACCCTTTTCATCGTCATGCAGCAGTTAGACCAGGAATAAAGACACCTCATGATCTCTCTCCTTTCAGGTGATGGAGCAAATGACGTAAGCATGATTCAAGCTGCTGATATTGGAATTGGGATATCTGGACAGGAAGGCATGCAGGTACTGTCCCCCTCAATTATTCTCATTTCTTCCCTCTCTCTGACCCTTTTTGGAGAGTTATGGAATTCCCCCCCAGTGTTGGAGGATCTTCTCCCCAAGAGCTTTGCAGAATTATCATCTCAGAGTCACAGGGCTTCCATGCCTATACATAACGTCCATCACTATATCCTTTGCTGCCCAGTCCTTCTGATACAGAGGAAAATTGAAGGATGCTTAGCCTTTTTTTTGGGGGGGGGTGCAAAAAAAGTGGTTTTATTAAGGCATGTGGAAAGGACCCATGGGCAGAAAGAGCTGCACCAAGGTCATGGGGAGTGGCCCGTTATATACTCTCAAGTTGGGAGGGAGTTACAGATAGCATTAAGTCCCTAGGGAATTTTGGAAGTAAAGTTTCCAGGACCTTGAGGGGGCTTAGCTTTACCAGCAATACCTGTATTCTAAAGCCTCCCTGAATGGGAGGGCTAAGCTTTCTACTGACTCCGTTCTTCCTCTCTGTAACCTCTATCCACATCCAAGAGTGCGGTGCCCTCCGTGAGCAGTGATATATATAAGGACATTTGAAAACATTTTTCAATTGCCATTTTAGTCTTGATGGCTAGATTGACCTATAAATTGTAAGGTACACTTACTAAGTCAAAATTCAGCTTGGGACAAGCATACTAGCTTGAGCTACTAACATTTCCCACTAAAACAGACCCCACTTTGTGGTTTTGAATCATTAACAACTATATTCCCACCACTAGTACAGACAGGAGGCATTGCCTAAATTTGTTGGTGAGGATGAAAGAACACAGTTACCTTTTGAGTTTCTGCCATAAGCCAGCACTGTACTAGGCACCTTGCATTTATTATTTCAAATGATTTGAACAATCACATCCCTGTGTGTTAGGAATTATTATTCCTTTTTTTTTCCCTAGATGAAACCGATGCTGAGAAAGGTTAAACAGCTTGACCAAGACTTATACCAGGGTCCATAACCAGCCACTTCCAAACCTCATACTTCTTTTTTTTTAACTAACATATAATGTATTATTTGTTTTAAGGGTTCAGGTCTGTGATTTATCAGTTTTACACAATTCACAGCACTCACCATAGCACATACGCTCCCCAATGTCCATCACCCAGCTACCCTATCCCTTCCACCTCCCTCCCCTCCAGCCCTGTTTGTTTCCTGAGATTAAGAGTCTTTTATGGTTTGTCTCCCTCTCTGGGTTCATCTTGTATCATTTTTCCCTCCCTTCCCCTATGATCCTCTGTCTTATTTCTCGAATTCCTCAAATCAGTGAGATCATATGATTATTGTCTTTCTCTGATTAATTTATTTTGCTTAGGATAATACCCTCTAATTCCATTCATGTCATTGCAAATGGCAGCATTTCAGGGTTTTGATGGCTGCATAGTATTCCATTATATGTATATACACCACATCTTCTTTATCCATCTGTTGATGGGCATCTAGACTCTTTCCATAGTTTCAAACCTCATACTCTTAAGAGTACCATGACCTATGTCCTGTTCTGAATAATCCCAAAAACAGAAGACACAGTTCAGCTCCATGTAAAGGAAGAGCTCTCCCGCCATCAGCTCCATGTGAGGGTGGAGCCAATGCTCTTCCGCAGGAGGCAACCAGGGTGTTGAGAGGTGTGAGGCTTTTCTGCATGGACGCCACTACTTTCTGGTTAGCTGTCGCATCTCTAGCATGGTGCCAACACATTTTAGGCCACAGTTAATGTTTATCAGATAAATGGAAGGAAATGGAAGGCCAGACTAGACCACTAATTCTTTACAAGCTGCCTTTCTTGGATTCTAGTGAGGTTTGGATTTTTCAGAAGAAAGGATGGGGATGTCCAATTCCAAAGAGCCACCCTAGGTGCCACTTAATGACAAAGGGTCTTTTTGGCCCTACCAGGTACGGACCTAGAACAAAGCAGAGCCCTCAAGGGGGACTCTTTGGTTCACTGGTGGCCATGGATAGAAGCTGATGTCTCTGTTCTGCCCTCTCAGGCTGTTATGGCCAGCGACTTTGCCATATCCCGCTTCAGACACCTCAAGAAGCTGCTGCTTGTGCATGGCCACTGGTGTTACTCGCGCCTGGCCAGGATGGTGGTGTACTACTTCTACAAGAACGTGGTGAGTAGCCCTATGGGAACCTCTTGTGCAGGCCTTGGTAGGCCCTGCCAGGGGACCCGCTCCTACCACAGTGGTAAGAAAAACAAGCTCAGTATAAGGGAGGGAGACAGGCCAGCCTAGATTTTGAATCCTGAAACCTTCCTACTAGCTCTGTGAACTTGAGCAATATAACTCACTTCTCTGGGTCTCAATTTCTTCTTTTGTGACATTATTGTGAGCATTAGCAGCACTGTATGGAAAGCACCTGGTACAAAGAAGGCAGCATGAGTGGTTACAAGCATGGACTTTTGAGTCAAACATAATTGTTTCAAGTCTAGGCTCTTTTATTTGGTAATGGCCTTATACCTTCTTTTTACCATCTGTAAAATGAGAATGATAATAGTACCTTTCTCCTATATTTGCTAGAAGGATTAAAGGAGAGCTTGTTTATAAAGTGATTAGCACATAGTAATCACCCTAGAGTCAGCCATCATTTTTATTATTGCTATTGCCATTGCTCTTAGATGGGCTCCATAAAGGAGATTTACTTTCTGACTACAAGAAAAAAGGACTCGATAATTAGCCTGACACATATCTTAAATTTTCTCCCCAGACAGACCCACCCCAATGCAAGCACTATACCTCACGCCTTGGGAGAGTACAGGTTTAAGACTGGAGTCCCTGGCTTCACCTGATACATACATCATTTCAGCTTCCCCAGCCTTCCCAGCAGGGAATTCACTGAGGTCAGGACATTAAATAAAATGTCTCATGGCAAAAATGTTTGGATTGGGGAGATCATCTGGGTTTTAGTCTTGCCTGACTCTAGCATACTGTGTGAACTTGGAAGTTATTTAACCTCTCTGAACCTTGGTTTCCTCATCAATAATATGGAGACACTAGGACTCCCTCTGTCCCTAGAAGTATTATCAAGAGACTTTAGTGCCAGAGCTCAGGAAAGCATGTGACACTATACAATCATAGGAAGGTAACATTGTTTCTCCTAAAAAATACATCCATTTCTGTCTTGTTGATAAGAGCCCAAGGCAGGCACACCCTAACTGAGGCATTAAAACTTTCAGAGGCTCTTATTTGAAAAGCCCTTGATTAACAATGGGTATTGGAAAAAGCCAGAACGTTGCTGTACTAAGGGAGGGAACAAGGGGCCTGAGTTTTCATTACCTAGTTCAAGGACTTTTAAATAATCCCCAAGAGTCTCCAAATAGAATCCAATTCCTGTTTGCATAAGGAAAAAGGGAGGATTAAGAGTTGAGTGACGAGTAGAGTGATGTCAGAGAAACACGTTAGCCAAGTAGCAGCTGCAAAATTGCATTTTGTCCCCTTGTTCCATTCTCCCAGTCCTGATTTAGGCATTGTCACAGTTGCCCTCCCTCAAGAGTGAGCATTTTTGTGCAAAGTTCAATGTATACGTAAATAAACAGCATGACAAAAAAATAATGTAAATTCGATAAACTGCATGGTAATATTCAGCCAGTCTATGCAAACAAGTCACTCTATTTAACTTGAAACTCACTCTGGGCATGAAAGACTGTTTACTTAGAATTCAAAATGCCCATTTAATTTTTTTTTTCTTGCCTCCAAAGGAGCTGTTCTTTGAATAAGCACAACCTCTTCTCCACATTAAATTTGTGAAATAGAAAAGGAAATGTTTCCAGCCAGCCATGCTTTCAAAGCTTAAATGGTATTTATTTCCAGCCTGATGCCGTGCTCGAAATTGTGATACTGATGCCGCATTATCTCCCCATTGCAATTAGAGGGTGGAGAACTATGACTTCCACATCCGAAACCAATTTCAGAGGGGATTAAAATGCTGCCTGCTCTGAAATTTGAACAATGAATTAATTACTGCACTGTAGCTTCTTGGGAGGAAAACGCAGGCCCCCCTCTCAGTGATGCCGTCACCAGGTTCTGGGCGCCCCCTCTGTAGGGTAGAGATTCCAGCGGATGGAAGCGGAAGCAAGCAAGGTCCTAACAGGGCCTGCGGAGGAAGAAAACAGTGTTAAACTCCAGGATATTGTTGGGACAATGCAACAACGACTGATTTCATTTATTCAAATCATTATTGAACATTTCCTGAGCCTGACAGTCTAAATCAGGGCTCAGTGAGCTTGTTCTACAAAGGGCCAGTAAGAAATACTTTAGCTTTGCAGGCCGTGTAGTCCATGTTACTTACTCCTCATCTGACCTACTCACCTCTGCTGCGGCAAAACGAAAGCAAACTGCAGACAACGTGCAAATGAATCGATGTGGCTGTGTCCTAACAAAACCTGATTTATGGCTGGATTTGGCCTGTAGGAAGTGGTTTGTCATCTCCTGGGCTCCATAAATCTTGCTTCTCAAAATGTGGTTTCTGGTCCAGAAACATTAGCATCACCTAGATGCTAGTTAGAAATGCAGATCCTTAGAACTGTGTCCTGGGACTACTGTCTCAGAATGTCGCTTTTAGTAAGATCCCCCGCTAATTTGTATGGACCTTAAAGATTAAGAAGTATTAGGAAAAGAAGTATTACTATGCTAAAAGAAAAAAAAAATACTTTACAATATTTTCTTATGCACATCTCCCTCGAAGAAGGTCAGGGTGCTAAGGACATATCACCAGGAGATTCTTGACCTAATCAGTTAGAAAGAAAGTAACATTTAAGCTAGGACCAAAAAGAAGAGCTAGAACTATGAATTTGCCAGTTTCCTTGCCAAGAAGGAGAGGCTTGACAACCTGAGTCTTCATAGAAAATATTTCAGGAAGTTTATAATTTTATATCATATACTATATCTAATTCCAAAAAAAAAAGAGATGAAAGTGACTTATAGTAAAAACAGAGGCAATAGAGAAGCAAGAAGGGAAATTTATAAGAGTATAGAGCAAAATTACAGAAAGGAAAGAAGTCAGTTGTACCAGGAACCTGGGTTAAGATGCTAAATATTAAATGTCTGGTTAAAACAAGCATACCAGTTCTCCAGGAGGAACACTCTCTCTTTCCATCAATTTGTCAAGCAAACCTTTAGAAGGTCACACAAAAACCTTCAAGAAACTGTCTTCTGTGGCATTTTTGTTGGAAATGAAAATTAACCTCCATATGGTAACTTTTTCTAACAACCCTTGATAAATCAGTATTAGATTATAATTCAGCAGGAATGGTTCTATGGAAAAATGAGCCAATGATATCCAAGCAGTGTTCTCTCCCTTTGACTAGGGATTAAAACCCTTCAATACTGCCCATGTGTGAAGTGTAAGGCAAGGAGCTCAGTAAATGCTAGTTTTCCAACACCAAGGTCCCCAGAGTTCTCCACGCCACTCTTGATTGCTATAGTGTCCTTGGTACTTAGCACAGCTGGTTAATGTTTGGCATAGCATCACTAGCATTAACATCCACCAACATCTATAGGGAACCAACCACATACCAGGTGCTGTCCTGGTACATATGTTTATGTATGTATGTAACTCTGAGAGCTACGTGTAATATTGGGGTTAAGACCAAAAATATGTGCTAGAACCAGACTGAGTTCAAATCCCAGCCCCAATCTGCTACTTAGCAATGTGGCCTTGAGTAACTTACTTCAGCTCTGTGTCTCAGTCTTTTCACCTGTAAAAGGGGGATACTACCTAACTCACAGGGTTATTATGTGCATAAATGAGTTAATATGTGTGAGGTACCCAATAAATCTTCCATCAGCCCTGTGGGGGTAGGGACAGTTATTGTCCATCTATAGATATGGTAGCTGAAAGCCAGAGGGGTTACCCAGATCACACAGCTAAGTACATCACAGAATCAGGGTGGGACCTAGTTCCACTGTACTCCAAAATCCCCAGACTGAATGTCCTCTCCACCATGGCATTCAGTGTCTCCCAGAGGTCGAAGCACCCTGTTCTCCAGCAGTTGCCAAATTCTTTGTGTGTTTTCTGCTGTCCAAGCATCTCTAGCACCATGTCTCAACATAAATTGTTCAAGAAATATCATGTGATATCACACTTGACCAGAGAGCTTCAGACAGCCTTCAACACCAGCCAGTCACTGTTCTCTTCCTCCTTTAGCTTAGACTATGGCTGGAGCTTGGGTGAAAACTGGGTCAAGCATCATAGAATCTACCAGATAAGCTTGTACAACTTAAAAGCTGCAATTTGGAGAGGAAAGATTGAGGCTTATAGTCAGAAAGACCAGATCTACATTGCAAATATCAGACAATGGCCTACAGCTGGCAAACTTGCTGCCTTGCTCTCTTGGCCCCCATGGCGGGAACTGCCAATCACAGCATTCTGTGTTCAGTACTTTCCCCCACTTGTAGCACTTTAGGATGGATCCACCTGGCCTCTCATGGTGTAGGATAAATGACTCTAGACATTAGTGCTGGACACTGAGCTGTAGTCTCAGATCTTGAATTGGTTTAACAAGAGCATCCACTTCCCCCATCATGTTTATGAGGATGGACTCTAGAGCCAGAACATCTGAGCCTGAACTCCAATCTGTTACTTAATAGCTGTCTATTGCCAAAGCAAGGACTCTGAGGCTCAGTTTCCTCAACTGTAAAGTGAGAGTAGTGATGACTGCCTCATGGGGCTGTTAGGTGGCTCATGGGTCAGAACAGAGTTTAGCAAATAGTAAGTGCTTTGGGTGTTTGTGTTGCTATTAGTAGCCTCATCTGTAAGATGGTCTCACTTCCAGCTCTGGCATCCTAGGCTTCTACAACTTCAAGTCACAGTTCCAGCCCCAGGTGGCCAAGGGTATTTGGTACGGTCACTTAGCCTATCTGACCTGCTCAGTCTACCTATGTGTAAGGGAGATAAGAGTTACTGTCTTGCCCATCTTGCTGGGGAGGGAGAAGCAAGGCAAGGTTTTCAAAGGGAAAAAAAAAAAAGAGAGAGAGGTCAAAGCTTCATACAGCTGCTGAATGCTAATACCAAGGGGACTTCAGTATTTCAAGTTCCTCTTAAGCCAACCATGTCAAGTGCACAAGTGGTTGTTGTTGATCTCAAAAATCTAAGTCGGCCCGTAGTATATTTCAAACCTACCAGCAGCACAACAAACAGATTGAGCCTTCTCACTCCTTCTGACAGAAAGATGCAAGGTCCAGGATATCTCAGGGCACCAGGATCTCTTTCAGAGCCAAGAAACATCCCACAGGTCACCTGAGCAGAAAAGCCAAAGGATAGAGCTCCTTAGCTAGAATCTCTCTGTTAGCATTGTTACTGTGTAATCCAATAGGAGATTAAGAAAGTTTGGGGGTAGTCAAAAAGAAAGAGCTTTGAAAACTCAGATGCTGGTTGTGTGACTTTCTAGCTCTGAACTTGGACAAGAGGTAAGTGAGTATCTGAAAACCTCAGATTCCTTGTCAGTCAAGTAGGGCTAATAACATTATCATCAAGATATAACATTAATATAATATGTACTATTTTTATTAGCAATAAGCTTTCAAGAGTCTTGGGACAAATTAGGTCTATGGCACACCTAATGTACTATATACTAAAATAGTATAATATATATCACACACCTGGCATGAATAGAAGCTTCAGTAATCATCATTGCTGTTACTAGAATTAGCATGTCCACGTTATTAAAATTCTAGAGAACCTCTTCAAAATAACCCTGGCCTAACAGTTAGAACATGAACATTCTAGTTTGTACACAAACCTGCTGAATGATTTCTTGTAATACATTTCACCTTTCTGTGCCTCAGTCACACAGAGCTGAGAATTTCTAGTCCTAACTCTGGGAGCAGCAGTTTATGTGACCATCTTGGTCAGGTTACCAAAGCATATCACAGTGTGGTAGGTAATACTAGTGACCCAGCCCATCTCAGGGTGGGGTGCTTTTGAGTGGGAAACAGCTTTAGAAAGCATAAAGAAAGAGGGAGAAGATTTCTTACTCTTCTGAGTTGCATGACCATTAGGAAAATAATGTAAGGAAAACCTCATGAAATTATCTTCCCACCAGTCTTCCTGCCCATGGTCTAGTCTTTCTATGATTCCTTCCCCAGGATCACCGCCTTCTTTTTCCACATTACTGCTAATAATAACTACCTTATCCCATGCCAGGTCTAGGTATGACTGTTCCTGTGTGAAAGAGGGCAAGGTGATGTTCAGAAACGTTAAGCAATTTGCTCCGGTTGACACAGCTCATAAGTGACAGACCTGGAAATTCCAAACCAACCTTTTCTGCCTCCACAACCTGTGCTGTTAACCAGCACAGTGTACTTACCTTAACGAGTCGGTGTAGTTCCCTTCAGGTCCTAACTCACAGTCATAGTTGTTGTAGCGGCAGCTGCTACTCTAAGGATTAGTTACCACTGACCCTTACACAACTCTGCGTATCACAAATGAGAAAACAGAAGCTCCAAGTCAACGTGGTGACTTGCCAGAGGCTCCTAAGCAGCTGTTGGTGACCACGGCCCACGGGTCCTCACTCACAAGGCCACACTCTCCACCTGCAGTGCTACGTCAACCTGCTCTTCTGGTACCAGTTTTTCTGTGGTTTCTCCGGCTCCACCATGATCGATTACTGGCAGATGATATTCTTCAACCTCTTCTTCACGTCCTTGCCTCCTCTCGTCTTCGGAGTCCTCGATAAAGACATCTCTGCAGAGACACTCCTGGCGTTGCCCGAACTGTACAAGAGTGGCCAAAACTCTGAGGTAAGATGGAGAGGCCCCAGCTCCTCCCTGCTGGTGTCAGGGAAGGAGCACTGACCTGGGGTCGGGGGCCTTGCACTCCCGTCGCCACTCTGCCTCTGTCCTTCCATGTGACCCACTCCCCATTCCTGGCCTGTTTCTCATGAGGGTGATAGATCAGACCAGTGGGTTTCTAGGAAATCATCAGGATGGCTTCCTAGAAGGCAGAAAGAGGTCACACTGACACCCTGAATCGTTTGGAGAAATCAGACCACGGGCACTCCAGGTGGTCCGATTTGCACAGACACAGCCCAGAGACTGGATGGAAGAGACACACAGGGAAACTGACTGCCTTGAAGAAGCGTTCTGGGAAGAGGGACATTAAATGCATGAGAATACCTCTGGGCCCGGGAGAAAGGTGTTTGAGAGCTAGTAATATTTTGTGGACAGCCAACAAAGAACCAAGCCCAGTCCTAACGCAAAAATGGTAGGAGAGCAACAGAGCTACCCTAGCACATCAGGCGAGAGAGACATAATGATGGCACACGTACACCCAGAGCTCCTCTGATTTTTCCCCTCCCTCTGATGTGCTAGATGTATAATGTATTCCTTGGGTATCTAACAGTAAGAGAAGTTAATACAGCAAAAACAAACTGAGAATAGCTTCACTTTTCTAGGGAAGGCAGGAGGAGGGAAGCACAAAATGAGAACTTGTCTCTGAAGCCACGGAGCCCTGTCTGTTGGGAACCTGTGATCCTGGACTGGGATGGAGAGCTCCCTTTCAGATGTTATGTAGAAATCTTAGAATCTCTAAACTTACCAAGTGTGTATTACCACTAGTGATGTGCTAATGAATGGTAGTTATTAATACCTGAGCACTTCCTGGGGACTAAAGCACAATTGCATTTAGATTTCTCAAAACCCAAGGAGATAGTTGATGTTGTTTTTACCCTTTTTGTGGAAGCAGCAGCCATTATCAAAGCAGTTTAGTGACTTTCACAAGGTCATACAGTTAGTGGCACAGCTAGGACTTGAACTAAGGTCTGTCACCTCCAGGTCTATACTCTAATTTTTCCATCTTATTGCCTCTAAGAACACTGTAAATACCATATTGTCTGTCCAGGTAGCACAAGAAAGTTGCTTACAAAGAATGGAGGCTCACTTTGGTGGTTAGTTGATGTGTTTTTTCTTGGCAGTGCTACAACCCGATGACTTTCTGGATTTCCATAGTGGATGCATTCTACCAGAGCCTTGTCTGTTTCTTCATTCCTTACCTGGTAAGTTCTATAACCCCATTCTAACTATACAAATCACAGAGTGGAACTGATCCTGTTAATATGAAACACTGCAGCACAGAGGCCCCATCTGCAGACTACATCCAATGCAGTATTTGAAAAATCAGACTGCTTTACCAAAACATCTCAATTTTTGCTAGCTTTTGAGAAACTGGAAGCTACCATTATACTGGGTCATTTTTCCCACATGGCAAAAACCCAGAATTGACTCACAGCCCTGGTAGATGGTGTGTGTGTTCTCCAGTTTGCCATAGTCCCTACCACTCCCTTTTGTCTTATACCTAGCCTTCTACACTTCTACACTTCTACAAATACTGAAGGTATTTGAATTTATAATCCTTGATTTATATTTAGATTTGTGATTCCAGGGTCAGGGCAGCATGCATTCAGGCAATAAGTTCTGATAATAACAAATGCTACATCATCTGAAGTAAAAGCAAGAGATACCAGCCCCATCTCAGTATGGTTCCCAGTTTAAAGAGTGGGAATTTAGATAGTCAAGCATAGCTCTATTTCTCCTGGATAGGGTACCACAAGGTAGGGTAAATGCATTCTTTTGTAGTTAGTGACAAGATGGGTCAAGGAGACAGTCATTTTGTGCTTCACTTTAATTTCCTATTTTACAATACTTTCCTTCTCTGGGACTCTGCTTGCCTTTCTTGGTTATTTTTTGCCCCTACTCTGTGCTCAACACACCTACCTTCTAGGCCTATTTGAACTTTTCACCCTGAAGTTCTCACCTTTGCCTGGCCTGCCTTTCCTCTCTTTTCAAGAGATAAACTCCTCTTATTATGGTCTCAGCTGATTATCTTCTCTTCTGTACCCCCAGGGTATTTTGTACACCTTGTACCATTATATCATTTATCCCCTTAATTGTACCACATTTTCCCTGCCTAGTAGACTATAACCTCCTTGAAGGTAGACACAGAAGTATCTTAAGCATTTGTCATTGTGCCTACTGGTTCAGCCATTCCAAAATGTTCTGGAATAACCATCGTGGATTCTGCCACAAATGTGTTTCCAAAGAATTTAGCCATATTAACTCACTCCTCATCTTGTCTGTTCCTTGGGTCAGTTCCTCACGGATGGCAGCTGCATATCTTCTCTTCATTCCTTCCCCTCCCACAACACTCACCTTGAATCCCAGGGCACATCTAACAGTGCTTGCTTTTTCCTTCTCTGCAGACCTACAAGGATTCTGATATTGATGTCTTTACCTTTGGGACACCCATCAATACCATCTCCCTCACCACAATTCTCTTGCACCAGGCAATGGAAATGAAGACTTGGGTAAGCACCTCAGAACCTCTCTGACCTAAAATATTTGAGTTGTTTTACTCAGTATCATTGATCCACTCTAGAAGTCAAGCAGAGAAAGAATTATCATATGTTTCACTCATATGTAGAACATAAGGGCCTTAGGGGAAAGGAGAGAAATTCCCATTCCCTCTGAATGGGAAGAAATCAGACAGGGAGACAAACCTGGACTCCAGGAGACAAACTGGGGTTACAGATGGGAGCAGGAGTGAGGTAACTAGGTGATAGGTATTAAGGAGGGCACGTGTGGTGATGAGCACTGGGTGTTATACACAACTAATGAACTGTTGAACACTACATCAAAAACTACTGATGTACTATATGCTGGCTAATTGAACATAATAATAAAAAAGTAACTCCTGAACTCCTACCTGTGTCCCACTTGTACAGGGATAAGCCAGGTATAAAAGATAAAGTGCCTCGCCTCAACTTGGTTATCATCTATCCAGGATTATGAAAATTAGGCCTATAAAACTATGAGACAATTCATTGCAAAAATTAGGTATGTGGGGTTAAAAGCTTTTAGGGTATTTTGGAGATGAGGAAAACAGTAGCCTGACTGGCCTTAAGGCTGTGTTAGGGAAGCATATGCTCTCCATTTAATTTCAGGGTAAAAGATTAGAAGGCTACCTTCATGTGAGCACACTTCAAGCATGTCCAAATATCACATCTCAGTATCTAAAAAGGTAATACCAGCTTTTTCATTAAATTCTTATAGTCAGTGATAATTATAAAAACAAAGAGCTTAAAATCATAGAGCAGGTACCTATTTATATGATTTTTAATGTATCATCTTATCTAACATCCCAGAGCACTCTGTAGGTTTTGGGGGGTAGTGGTTAGTCTTATACAGTGCTGTAATTATTCCTCAACAAGTTTAAGGTACACAGGATAATCACTTGATATGCATTTATTGTAAAGTAATAGATGTTAATTAAATTAGATCAGCCTGTACGACGTGAGAGCTAGTAGGAGCCACCCAAGGAAACTTACAGATCACAGACACCCTGTGTTCCAATTCATGCCAAAGACAAACAGAACAAAGTGATAAAACCAAAAAGGTATAGTCAAGATTAAGCACAGGATAAATTTCTTCAAGAAGCACCAGCAATAGAAGAGGCTGAAGAACAGTGAAGTAGAGGAGGGAGAGGTACTGGCCTGGCTCAAACTAAAGGCTTTCCAGAATCCAGGACAAGAAACTGACTGGGGCAGTGGGGAGTCTGGTCCCTATGGGGTAAGGAAGATTGGAGCCCTGTTGACTGCTAGGTTCAAGGTCTTGGCTAGAGTAGCCCACTCAAGAAAGCAAGCTAAAGAAAAGTTGACAAGGACATGCTATTTGGAATTCCAGTTTTATCAGAAGCCATGAGGAAGGGAGGTAAGGGTCAAAGATGATTTTAATACTGGGAACTGAACCAAGCTGAGGAAACATAGAACTCTTCAAAATGAACACTTCTGTCACTGAAATTAAGGATGCATTTTGTGGGATCCACTCTAGATCGGACTCTGACAAATAGTAAACTACCAGATTGAAGATATGATTGGGAAATCATCTGGAATGCCACCAAATCTACCAGACTGAAGATATGATTGGGAAATCATCTGGAATGCCACCAAGTACGATAAAGTAATTCAAAGGAATAATGGCTAGAATAAATGGCTCCAGCATCCGCGTAAGAGTCATAGAAGAAGAAGAAAAAAATGGTAGAGAAGCAGTATCTGAAGAGATAATAACAGAAAATTAAAATAAATCTAAACATATCACTTGGATATATCACAGTGAAACTGCATAGCATACAAGAGACAATCTTAAAGTTGACCAGAGGCTATGGACAGCTTACTTGAAAAGGAATAGCCGTTAAACTGACAAATAATAGAAGCTAGAAAACAATGGAATAATTATCTTCAAAGACCTGAGGGAAAATAACAAACAGTTACACATCACTTAGAACCAGGGCAAAATCAATGACATTTTCAGATAAACAGACATTGTAAGGTTTGCTATTCCCAGACCCTCAGCAAAAGAAGAAACATACTTCTGTAAGAACATAAAAGCCAAACTGTAAGAAACAACAACAAGGTAAGAAAGGATTGTTCATTAGGCAATTTATGCTAAAATCTTCATCATTAATAAGA